CCAAACCCTTCACATTCATAACATTATGTTCCTTTGCCTCTGTTAGGTTTATAATCATCTTTGTTATTGCTTAGGGAATTAATGTTAGACATCTTGTCAGAGACATTTGTATTCCACTTTTTGTCTAAATTCTTTAGGACATTATTGAACTTTCTTCCAATATAAACTATAACATCAGAAAGACTTTCTTCAGTATCATTCTCACTTTGATATTCATTCTTTTGACAGTTTGAAACAAAATCAATGCTCTTCTTCTTATTTTCATATCTTCCACTTATATCCACTTCAAATGTTTGAAGAGAATTAATGAGTTCATCAACCTTCAAGGTGGGTAAGCCTTGAGATTTTTCAATGGTTTTTACCTTCATGTCAAACTTCATAGGTAGAGATCTTAGGATTTTTCTGACTAGTTTCTCTTCTAACATCTTCTGTCCTAAAGCAAAATAATTGTTGGCTATATTATGCAAACAAATGTGGATATCATATATAGATTTATCTTCCAACATTCTCAAACTTTCAAACTCTGTTGTGAGAAGTTACAGCCTAGATACACGCACTTTAGATGTGACTTGATGAGCAGTCTTGAGAATCTCCCAAGCTTCTTTGGCCTCAAAACAAATGTTGATCAATATAAAAATGTTTGTGTCCTCACCATTGAATATGGCATTCGAAGCTTTGTCATTTCCAAGAGCCTCATTATCATCATGCTTGGACCAATGAGCTTTAGGCTTTATGCTTATTGTATCATATGGAGAAGTGATAACAAGTGGTTTCCACACTTTAACCACATCCTTCAAAGTCCTTTTGTCTATGGATTTAAGAAAGGAAACCATCTTAGCCTTTCAATAATCATAATCAGTGCCATCCAAAACAGGTGGTCTATTGACAGATCCTAAATCCTTAGCGTTGTCAATTTGAAAAAAAAATGTTAGAGCTCACCCAAACAGAATAGACTACATGCTCTGATGCCAATTGAAATTTTGCTCCTCAAGGGACAAATGTTGGACTAGACGTTGAGATAACTTGTCCAACTTCTTCAACTAATTTTACAGCAACATTAAATTAGTGCAGAAAACATTAAATTAACACAAGATATTGGTAACCCAGTTCGGTAAAACCACACCTACATTTGAAGTGCACTTTACCCAAGAAAGGAAATTCATTACTTTAAATTAGCGTAGTTAGTCTTATAAGAACACCATCCCCATAATGTCCAATGCCTCTTCCTAATCCTAGTGACTTTCTATTTAGGCCTCCCTCTAAATATGAGAACCCCTCTCACTTTCTCCCAATCACTAATCCTAAGGGATCAACTCAATAAAATAAAATGTTGAGGTTGAATTACAACTCAACTAAATAAACTAATTATTATGCTTAAGAATGAAGTAATAACATGGTATACAATTAACATAAACAAAGACTCAGCCTAAAGCACAATTAACACATAAGCTCGACGATCTTTAAGGCGTGGAATGAGTCTCTCTATATAGAAATCCATAGTTGGGCTTTTCTCCTTGGACAATTGATCTGATTTCGCCCGAGAATAGTTGAGATTTGGTTGAGATTTATTTCTTAAAAGCAGCTCCACAAAAACATATTTGATTTGAATTCAAATTTAAATCTTAATGATTTAAACGTGACCTAATTAATTAATCAATCAAATCAGATTGCTAAAAGATAACCGAATCCTATTTTCAAATTCTCCAACTTCAAAATCACAAAAAAAGTATTTTCAAAGGAGCTCGCATTGGCAAACCACCTCCTTCGTCTTTACCTAAAATCCAATTCATCGATATGATGCCGTTTTTATTTATGAGCAACACACCATGTGAGAGACACACTACATATTCACCTAAAATCTTAAGATGATTGGTGTATGAATTCTCTCATTTATAAATGCTCAAGTCTCCACTTTTCTAACCAATATGAGACTTCCCCACATTTCCACAATTCAAACTTGTTATTCTCAACACTCTCACCTTTTCATAATTCACACCTTAATTAGGTCATTTTCGACCTATTTCACTTGCAGGGTCCTTGTACAAGTTGATTACCAAAGTATTGGCAATTAAACTAGGGAAAGTGATGTATAAGCTTAATTCCCATAATCAATCGGACTTCCTTAAAAAGGATTGTTAATTGATAATGTGGTGGTTGTAAATGAGTTGATTGACTTGGGAAAAAAAGACTAGAAAGGCTTGTCTCATTTCAAGGTGGATTTTAAGAGAATCGTAGGAATCGATAAGCTAGACCTTTCTCGATTATATGCTTATCAGATTTGGATTCAAATATAAGTGGAGATCTTGGATGAAAACTTATGTTTTTGCAGGAAATCTCGTAGTGTTTTCGAACCTAAGAGATTAGAATCCAAAGATGTTTTAAGCAAGGGGATCCTTTAGCTTCATTCCTTTTTCTGCTAGTGGCAAAGGGGCTTAATGAAATGTTCATTAGGGCAATTAAGTTCGATATTTTTTTTCTAGGATTAGGATGAGATCCTCATATTTAGTGGTCTTTCTTCTTTAGTGTATAGACAATAACTTAATTTTAGTTAATCCTTATGTGGATAATTTATGGCTTACTAAGGTTATCCTTAGGGGTTTTGACCTGACATTAGGTCTTCGAGTTAATTTTTTTAAGAGTAGTATAGTATGGTTTAATGTGGTTCCTATTTTTTTGGACTTTGCATGTGAATTTCTCCATTGTAAGATTGATTATCTTCCTTTTAGGCACTCTGGGTTGCATGTGAGGCCTAACCCCGGACTCAAATCCACTTACGTCTCTCTTGTAGTTTGTAGGTTGCGCCCACTTGGAAAAAATGAATGTCTTTTCTAGGTTTGAATGAAGATGATTCCTCTGATTGATTTAAGGATTTGTTTTTCATCAAAGAGTGATATTGGGTCTTCATACTTATTTTTGGACTGACCCTTGGGTTGGGTCCACCCCCCTTAAGATTTAGCTTTCAAGACTTTTATTTTATATATGAGCTATTAAAGGCAACCACTAATGAGATATATTGATAGGAAATATGTATGCTAATTTAGAATTTAAGGTGGACGAGCCCTTTTTTTTTCATGAGCAGTCTTTGATTACTAATCTTCTTTTTTGTTCTTCAATGATTGACTCTCATTTAAGATATAGACAGGGAGTGGTGACGCCTTATTAAAGATAGAGATTTCTTTGTCTCTTTTATTTATAATGTCTAGTTGGAGCTCTATAAACCTTATATATATATATATATATATATATATATATATATATATATATATATATATATATATATATATATATATATATATATATATATATATATATATATATATATATATATATATATATATATATATATATATATATATATATATATATATATATATATATATATATATATATATATATATATATATATATATATATATATATATATATATATATATATATATATATATATGAATGAGTGAGGATCAACTTACTTCAAGAATAAGTTTTTTCAAATCATAGGCTTTGAATTGAATCTAATCTAATGGTTAGATTAGTCTTTTACTGAATTAACCATTAGTTTAGATTCAATTAGGGCTGGCAATGAACCAAACCAACTCGAAGATAGTTCGGAATTCGACTCGACAATTAAATCGTTGAACTAGGTTCATGAACCAAATGAGTTGAGTATGAGCGAAAAATTAAGTTCGTTAACTAAATGAGCTGAACTTGAACTATACATAGTTCGACTCGTTAGGTTCATGAGTCAACTCGATTACATATGAAAAGAATTATACTATCCTTAAGATTAGGTTTAAATATTTACTTCAAATCTTAGACAAATTTAATCTTCAATTTATTAGTTTTTGAATTAGACTCTCAAATGTATCTCTTGAAAGTTGTGTAGGTTTTGAATTAGTAGATTTCGAAGATAAAGTTAAATTTCAATATGATAACTTTTATTTTATTTTAATATTTTATTTAAAAATATATATATTTATTTAAAATGTCAAATATACTAAAAAATATATATATTTAAAAAAATAGTTTTTAAGTTCGTGAACCATGTGAGCTGAACCTAATGAGATGAACCTAACGAGTCGAACCGAACTGTTCGTGAACTTATAACGAGTCGAGTTTGAGCTTAAAAAAAAGTTCGTGTCGAACTCGAATTCGAACAATTCTTAACGAGTCGAGCCGAGCTGAGGTGAGTTCGACTCGACTCGACTCATTTCCAGCCCTAGATTCAATCCAAAGACTATTATTTGAAGTAAGTTAAAAAAACATACTCTTGAAGTAAGTTGAACTTTTCCTTTATCAGGGTTAAAGGTTTGAACTTTTCCTTTATCTGGGTTAGTTGGACACCTTCTAATATGGTAATTTTTTTTAGACAATTTCTTGTTGGGTTATGAAGGGGTCCAGGGAACATCACATTGGACTTTTAACATTCACTTTAAATGAGTTGACACCATATAATAATCCAAAACCCTAAGATATTGGGTTTAGCGGTCTTCTAATTTATAAAGTGTTTAACATTTGCATTATATTTAATGTGAGGCTCATCCTCACACTTAATATACCAACTCATCCCATCTAAAAAAAATTATTTAAGGGTGATTGTTGAGCCAACTAAGCTTTCTCTTCCTAGGTCTCAAGGCTTGGTAAAGTCAGTTTCACATTTGCTTGTTACTTGTGAGAGATAATTTTAACTTTGTGGTATATAATCTTTAAGTGGTTGGAGTGATTAAACTTCTTTTATCTCCCTTGATTGTAGGTTTGTTTGTAAGATGAGCATTAGGGGTGGGCTTGCAAAGATTTGGAAATTTGATAGGTTGGAATGTTTGAAAGGATATAATTTTTCTAATTCATCAATAAATGTGAAATAAGTGAAAGAAAATAGTATTTTTCTGACTTGAATCATCAAGCCTTAATATATTAATGCACAAATTCTTTAACATTGTGTCAATTTCATTACACTATCATATCATAAAGAATAAAATCAATGAATCAAAAAAAGAAAATATTTAGAACTTCAGTTTGAGAAGAAATGGCATTTTATCTGAGAAAGGAGGATCAGAGTATTTTCCAGTAAGAATCTGTGATGCAACATACTGATTTGCAGTCTCAGTGTAATGAATTCCATCCCAGCTTATATACTCAGAACTATCATTACAGCCTTTCGCCGCTATCGTTGTTCCGTTCACTATCTTCGTGTTCCCACAAGAAACTCTACTGTCATAGTTCAACGGTGGACCTCCATATCCGCAACACGCCATTATAGGTTGTTCGAACCCTAAAAGTCAAATGTTTTTAGTCATCTGGCGATTATGATTGACTGACAGTGTAAAAATTATGAAACAGATGAATGTAACGTCGAGATATACTAACCGTATCTTGAATAGTTTGCGATGAGGTTTGATTTTATGGTGAAGATATCGACGTATGTAACATTTGAATCTGGATATTGTGCTTGGAATTTACTAGAGAAAGCATGAAGCTGTAGATTGAAGGTTTTCGCAGCGATGTTATGTGCGCTAACGCAGCCTAGTTCGTCGAGTTTTGATGGATCGGTTCCGAATTTGGCAACGTTTTGTGTTAAGCATCCGAGAGGACCTGTGTTGTGTATCCAGAAATATCGAGCTCCTTCATCGTAGAGTCTCTGTCAGAAAAATAGTAACAAAGAATGAGATTTCTTTGATGTTAATCTCTTTAATAGAAGGAGATGATTTGATATGACACAAACCTTGATTCCGGTTTCGAATTCTACAAGAATGGTTGGAATCGAGGCAAGTATTTGGTCTAAGGATTTTGAGTAAAACGCGCCAGCGAGATCATTCTGTCCAATATCAAACATGTATAGTCCCTTGTCGAAACTATCTTGGCTCGGGACGTACTTATCGAATTTCCTTCCTTTCGCGAGCAATTCAAGCGCGCGTGCTTTGAATCGGAGAAACTGAGACACCTGAATCCCGAATGAGAATGGACAGATTGATGATGCAGTGGCTGGTAAGATAGTTGAACCTGCTGCTGCAAAGTTGCAACCTTTTCTGAAATTCGGCAAACCCAACGAGTCCAAATACGCGTTTAAGAACGGTAAGTCGAACGCATCCACTGCACGAAAAAACAACCAAGAACACATAAAGTTACCATCATTAGTAAAATGAAAGAAAAAAAAAACAGAAATTTTTTTCAATTATTACTAAGAAAATCTACGATGAGACGGCCATCGGAGTATCTCCCTGACGGCGGATGAAAGTAAGTCTGTCCATATGGAAGGTGAAGGGTCTCAAAACCAGTGGAAATAAGGGTACCGGTATCAGAATTCGAGTCACCGAAGTTGAAAACTGCTGGAAAATCTAAGTGGATGGATTTGGAACAAGGTAACAAGAACGTGGTAATGATAGTTAGAATTATGCAGTATTTGTCTCTGGCCATAACTATTTAATTCTTAGTTACCATGCAAAGAATGTGTTTTAAGACTTTCAAAGTTTGCTTGTGTTTGAAACATAGATCTGCTAAAAAGTTTGTTAGTTAGTTAGACTTAACCTTTCTATATGACACGTGTAATGTGATAATTGGTGTTTGTTTGTATGTTTGGTGAAGGAAACTTGTAGTGCAAGTAACTCGTTGTTATAAGTATTCAATCAACGATGTATTATATGTTCTATCTGATCTCGGTCTAACGACTTCTGACTACTATGACTATTATAGATGTAATATGTAAAGAAGTATAAAACTTTACTTAAAAAATCGACGATGAGACGGCCGTCGCATGCCCGTCCGGATGGAGTTTTGAAGTAATTTTGTCCATTAGGCGGGGCAAGCTGAAAGCCTAACCCAACAGTAAGTTCACCTGTGTCAGAATTTGAGTCGCCCAAATTGAAAACCGCTGGGAAATTCCAATCAACTGAATTGACCAATGTCATACATGCAGAAAAGAACACAAAAACATGAATGAGAATAAACACCATGTTACTATTATTATTATTCTTGGAACAAACCACCATGGCTTTTTTGAACCAATGAAAGTGGCATATAGTATTATAAAGGTAAAGAATAGGATGCCTTTTATATGAATATGAGTACTCAATTGGTTGCTTCAAGGTTTTAGAGAGAAGAGAAATGGAGAAGCAAGAAGATGGTTTTTCCTTGAAGGGTTGGTTGATTGTGTCTTGACTTGTAATTTCCATGAGATTAGATTGTTGTCACATACCATCTTTATGTCACATTCTTTGCCTTTCTTGTAAGAGGATGCATATTTCAAGGTTAGTTAGTGAACTATCACACTTAAATTTATAAAAATGTACAAACTTGCAATGGACCTATAAAATGTTAAAAAATGTGTATCATTCATTATTCATGGTAATTATTATATATATATATATATATATATATATATATATATATATATATATATATATATATATATATATATATATATATATATATATATATATATATATATATATATATATATATATATATGATTTCCGACCAATGAAAAACTAGAACTTAGAGCGATTATTTGTTAATTTTTTAAAATTATAATAATTGAGTGATGCTAACTTTTTAAGTTACTTCTTTTAAATTACAATATGCTAACTTTTTCTTGTTTTATTAAAACTATTCACGTTTAATTTTTTGTTAGAATATCTCCCTTTTTATTAAAAATAATTTGTAGATTTTTCCTTAATTTGTATTGGACCATAAGTTTCGTTACAAATTAATATGAAAAAAGAGGATGAACATTCCAAGATAAAAATTTTTTTCTTTACACAAACTTATAAAATATGAAAATGAGTTACAAGAATCTTTGTAAATATAAGTATTGATTATCCACCGTTTTTCTTAAATTTTCTAAGCAACTTCATTCTTCAATAAATAGAACTATCAAATGTTGGGGCTAACATCCCTTCAAAGAAAAGCAAAGAATCTCTTCCAAAGATTTCCAATATTTCACATACTTGCAAGCTTAAACTTATTTCAATCTCATAGTAAAACTCAGCAAATGGAGCAAAAAGAATTTAATCTTCAACATGCAAGCATATGGTATAAGCTCTATAATTTCATCATGAAAATAATGGCTGAACAAGCATTGAAGACAGTAACTTTAGGGAAACAAGATGGTAACTCAAGTGGGGTGCAAATTTCTTATAATCCACCATGTAAGGGTGTAAATAGCAATGAGCTTTAAGCAACTCAATGTTTCTTCTCAAACATAACATGTTTAAGAAAAGAACAATATGTGTAGAAACATTGTTGATGAAAATTTATATCATCAAGCTTTAATACAATAAAGGTTGTTTGTGATTTTAGAAACACATAAAATTGTTAGGTTGCAATAGAAATCATTGTATGTGTTTAGTGATGCTTGTGTTTGATTCTCCATTTGCAGAAACTTCCTAGGAGCTTAAAAAGAGCTTCTGGATGATCGGGTGAAAAATCGAACAACTTATTACCTCAACATCAAAATACAAAGATTTTATGTTGGTGTAGGAGGTCTAAGTCAAATTAAAGATGAAACTTTTTTAAAAATCGATAATATTATTTTATAAAGATTTCTAAATTTTTATTTATTTGTTTTAGCATACAAAATCGTTTAATAAAGGCTAGTTTAGGGTGGTTGAGTTTTTGACATACAGGTTAAACATGTTGGTCACCAATCTAATCATCCGTATTATTGACCAACATTTTAACCACCTCTCCAACGTAAAATTGTAAACCATAAGTCTTACAACAACTGACACCACAAACGACTCTTTCTTTGATCATAATTTTTACCTTTCAAACCACCACCGCTCATCACCATTGACTACTACTCAGGCCATCATCGCTCACACCACCATCAACCACCACTCTGACCTAATCACCACTATGACACACATTCCCAACAATCACCATTTTTAGCCACTATAATATATATATAAAGAAAATATAAAATACTATAGGGAATAAATCATACCCAATTAAACTACGGAATCAGCCTAAAGAGTACGTAAAGTTCAAATATAATAAAAGTGATTTAGATTAAACTAAAACAAACAAGCATACATGATAGACACTATCCAACAAACCCGCGTACCAGTGCAAAATCAAATAGTAAAAAAGGTTTGTATGAGCCTTCACTTCTCAAGACGACAAATGAGCTAACTGCCAACACAAACTGATTCATGAATCAACAACCTCTGAGATAAAAACATGTAAGTAAGACAACTCTTTTGAACCAAACAATTCAACATCAAACAGATAGAATGATACAAATATCAAACCAATCCGAGATTATCAATCCCAGTGACTGATAAAGATAATAAGTCAATGCCAAAGCAAAGGAGGCAAACCGTAAATCTTGAAACCTGTAAATTTCAACATATCCAAAGACAGTCAGAGAATCAAAAGATGAGGATACCAATCCTACACAAGAAGCATAAACTTGCAACTATGGCTAAACCATTATCGTTTAAGAGATCCACCGGAGAAAATGAAGGAGCTGCCACAATCATCAAAACTTCCACAAAGTAGAGCATCGTAACCGAGTCTCAGAACACAATAAACCTTTGGTAAAACTCTTTGCCACTAGAAAGCCAAAAGTCGACGAGTACTCAACCAGAATAAGCCAACCGAAGAAACAGAAAAAATAGCAAAACTTTGAATATGACGCAATATGTTTTCGATCTACCTGCAACAAGCCATAGTTAAGAACTGGGAGAAACAACTGTCGTCGGAACCAAATCGAGAAAAGGTAAAAACAAGTAGAGAGACATTGATATCACTGAAACAAAAAGTGGTTTACAAAGGGATTACTGTTGGAAATCAGATTAAACAAAGCTTCGAAAAGTAAGTGGAGGAATGTGTCTTTATTCGATTAACCAATAGCCATTTTACAAAACATAAGAAAATAACAAACTCTACTCTTTACATGCCTACAGTATAGTAACAAGTAACCATTCTTGATTTACATTTTAGCTGTTGCTGCTATTATTATTATTATTATTATTATTATTATTATTATTATTATTATTATTATTAAAACTACTATTAAATATATGCATTATATATTTGTAACAAGAAGATATCCACTTGTATAAATAGAGTATAAATTCTATTTGAAAGAAAGAGAATCTTGTTTCATCATAGTATAGTCAACCTAGAAATATTATATATTATTGGTTTCGGGTGAAACTAAAAGATATCCACTTGTATAAATAGAGACTGTAATCCTATTTTTCTATATAATTCCCTCGTGCAATATATGACTCATTTTCATTCTAATATGTGACACTAGTCCCATTGGTTACAAAAAAATATTGTCATGTACAACTCAAAATGGAGACACTTGATGCATATATGTTCAAGCTAACTTCTAACAATTACACAAATTAGAAGATGGTGATAGAAGACCACTTATATTATAAGGATTTCCTTGATCTGATGACCAATAAAGATAAATTTGAGGCAAAAACCAACAAAGATTGGGATAACCTAAATTGGAAGGCAGTACAAATGATTCATAAATACATTGATTAAGTTGTCCTAAACATGTATCAACTTATACCACTGCATAAGAATTGTTATCAAAGCATTAATCATTGATTCAAAATAAGTCACCAAGAAATAAATACCAACTTGTTAAGAAACTCATAAAGTTGCAATACTCGGGTAGTTAAAACATGATCTGGAATCTAAATACCTTAAAAGGTATTGTAAATCAATGACGAATATCAAAATGAAAACACTTATTCTCCTTCATTTTTTCTTAGATTTAGGATACTTTAGTTGTCACTCCTAATAATTCAGCTTCAAATGGAAAAACTTGAATCAATGGTGTTTCCTAATCAACATACTTCCTACATCAACTTTACTAAAAAATTTCTCATCATACTTTACCTTGCACAACAAGAAACCAACACAAATTCCTGTTATTCTCACTTGAGGCCATCCAATTAACATAAATTAGATTTTAGAAGCTTCAAATATGTCTACTTGGGAGTCTCTCTGTCGCTACTGCGAAAATCGGCGCCAGCTAAACAAAAGAGTCGCCACCGTGCGTTATTTATCCCAACGGAGGGAAAGGAAACGCTCGAAGTAAACCTACCGCAAAGACGGAAAGGAATGGTCATCGCAACCAAATTCTGGACTCGGGAGTCGGTTACGCAAGGGGAAGGTATTAGCACCCCTCACGTCCGTCGTACTCGACCGGATCCACGCTTGCTGGTTCGTCTAAAGGATGCAAAAACAATCTATCTACGACTGCTAAAGCTAAACGGAAGGAAACTGACTCGGTAGAGTATCGAACTCTATGCCTACGTATTCTCAAGAGAGAAAGTCAGAGTCAACGTAGTTCGGGAAACTACAGGGAATTGGCTCGCCGAGATATCGCATCTCGTGCCTACGTACTTCCACACGGCGTGAAAGATCAGAGCTTACGTAGTTCAGGC